GCGGGGTGTCCCCTTGACCTCTGACGTGGTTCACCATGCCTGAGATACTGGACCAATGTTTGTCAAGTGAGATGATATGACCGGTCACCTTCTCTCAAAGGTTACCCGGTCATTCTTTGTGCTCAACCCGTCTCTGGTCTTCTAGATTGTTCTTTGTAACATTAGGCGACATTTTGGCTAACGCCCAAAATGTGACCGGTCAATTTTTTAGTGGAAGTGACCGGTCAACTTTTGACCCGTCCCAATCGAAGAGTTAACTTCATTTGATGATTGATAAAAGTGACCGGTCATATTTTGACCTGTCCCTTTCGGTTGTCCGGGTCGGGTATAGGAATATACCCATCAAGAAGTCCTCCACTTACCGGCCTTGTGAGGAAGTCATCAAGGGCGGGAAGTATATTTATGTTGATTTATCACTTTTGAAATCATCAAGTCATTCTCATGACCTGTCCTTCTTTGAAATCACCAAGTCATTCCCATGACCTGTCCTTTTTTGAAATCATCAAGTCATTCCCACGACCTGTTCTTCTTTGAAATCATCAAGTCATTCCCATGACCTGTCCTTCTTCTAAATTATCAAGTCATTCCCATGACCTATCCTTTTCTGAAATCATCAAGTCATTCCCATGACCTTTCCTTCTTTGAAATCATCAAGTCATTCTCGTTGACCTGTCCTTCTTGTTGACCTGTCCTTTTAGACCCGTCACTTTTGTAATTATCAAACCTTTCTCTTTCAAGACATGTCTTTCTCTGGATTACCAAGCCTTTCTTTTTCAAGACCTGTCCTGTCCTTCTTCGAAATTGTCAAGCCATTCCCATGACCTTTCCATGGAGACCTGCCCATTTTTTGGATTCACCGTCTTCATACCAGACCTGACACTTTTGGATTTGTAGACTACGCTGCATGACCTGTCCGTTTGGATCTGTGGGAGTCCAAATGTTGAGCCTGGCTTTTTATTTTTGGAATTTCCCCCCAAAAACCTCTCACCTTCCACATTCAAAATTCAAATTTTCCCTCCTAATCATAACCTCTTCCACGTGTCAGGCGCTCCTTCTCCCACCTATCGCCTCGAGCTCCAAACCGCCTCTCTCTCTCTCCTATAAATACCCCTCCAACCCATCTCATTTCTTCACTTCTCTCTTTCGCTCCTCAAGTTTTAACCGGTCTACTTTCTCTCTCTAACCTTCTGCCAAGTAAGTCCTCCAGTCCTCTTAGTCTTTTAATTCTTCCATCTTTCCATTTTTGACCGGTAGGCTGAAGTCATGTCTTCCTCTGACTCACAAAATGTATCCGGTCAATCTTATGGATCGGGTTCTCAACCCTCTTTCTCTAACCAATCTGAGTCTTCTTCTCCCCCTGTCACTCCTTTGATTCGCCGCCCCTCTCACCAACCTAGCTCCCAGGCCCAGGAAATAGTTGCCCAGGAGCCTGTTCCTTTGAACCAACTGCCCGGTCGATTCAATCCCAAGGTCCTCAGCTGGGAGCAATGGGAAGAACGACTGGGATCTTTGGGCTTCCTAGCCCTTGATGTTAGACCGGTATTCAAAGAGTCCTCTAGGGTTACCAAAAAGGTCCTGGCCGAGGTACGCTCTGTCCTTCCACCAGGATATAAAGTCATTTCTAACACCACCTGGCCCAACATCATAGAACCCCACCAAAGAAACCGGTTGGGTTTTCACATCGCTTCGCTAGAGGGGGGCATTATCTTTCCTCTTCGCCCCCTCCTTATTGAAATCTGTAAAAAGTTTCATATTTTGCCCGGTCAACTTACTCCAAACGCTCACCGGTTCTTAAATTGTTTTGTTAATATTTGTGAAAATCTGAAAATCAACCCTTCCCTTGAGCTTTTCCTCCACATGTACGAAGTCTTGCCCGGGACTAGTAACTGCTCGGGCTTCGTCTATTTCCATTCCCGCAATAAGAGGGGGTTTGTGACCGGTCTTCCCCCCAACCATAAGAGATGGAAACAAAGATTCGTTTTTATTGAGTTTCCCTCTGACCAATTTCCTTTCACTAACCCTGAGTGGGCTGACCGGGTTATAAAACCTGAAAGGGTTCACCCGGAGCCCACCAAAGAGTTAGAGGAAGCCTGCGAGAAACTTCTCAAGGGTGATCCTGTGACCGGTAAGCCATACGCCTATGGTGGATGGGTATACCGGTTACCTAACCCGGATGGGGGTGCGTTTGCGACCCATGACGCTGAGGATAACCGGGCTGATTCCCCGGATGGTCATGCTGAGGCCGGCTCTCCTCATCCAGGTTGGTTAATTTTCCTCAACCTTTTGATTCCACATTCATTTTGATAAGGTGTAAAATCTAACCGGTTACTTTGTTACTTTTGGGCAGACATGAACTTCAACAGGATGACCACCATCATTGAAGATGACGATGATGATGTCCAAGTCCTCCATTCCAACCGGTCTCCTCTCTCTAACTCTCCTTCTCCTCCTCATTTCCCTGGAATGGATGGGGCCACAAGTGCTCGGTGTAGCCCTATCCATGAGCAGAGCCAGAAGCTGAAATCTCCTTCAGCCAGGCATCACTCTGAGGTTGACCGGGCTAATCCCCCCAAAGTCCCGGTCCAATCAGGTGCTAAAGAGGTCGGTCGTAGAAGGAGAAGTTTTCGGTTCCTGGTTTTTTCCTTCTCGAGAGTATTCTCAAGGTCCCCTCCGTTCTTCTCCTTCTAATCGAATAGTCTGTCCCTCCCCCTTTGGTAGCTTCTTCGGAAGGATACCCTGGCCAAAAAACTCAGCAAGGTATTCCATCTCCACCTTTCTTCCCGGTTCAAGTTTTTTCCTTCACTTTCACTGATATGCCTCCTCTCTTTTTATTTTTTATTTTTACAGGCCGGGGTCATTTCAGAGGAAATTGGCCAAACATTAAAGGAGAAGGACCAGGTCTCCCAACTCACCCTCCTCCTTGATTCTGCTAAGTTAGAGATCAATGACCGAGCAGAAAGGGAGAGGAGACTTGAGGAAGAGCTGAAGGAAGAAAGGGCCCGGTTTGCCCTTCTGGAGGAGGAAAAGAAGAGAAAGATCGCCGAGCTCGAGGATGCACTGGGCCAGGCTGAAGAATCTGCCCGGGCAAAGAAGGAAGCCTTTCCCACTGAAGCTGCTCACTGGGCTGCATGCCATCACTTGGAAATTGCCCGGTCAATTCTCACCACACCGGAAGAAACCATGGACTTTTTCAAGACCATGTATCAAGAGCCTGAAGGCAAGAGGATGATCACCGAGATTGGCTCGTACGGCTTCCAGTGCGGCCAGAAGGATGAGAGGTCCCTCCTTTATGCCAGGCTTCTGAAGAGGGATCCTTCCTTTGACCCGGCCAAGATGAAGCTCCCGGCTCTATACAAGGAAGAGCCAGCTCCCCCCTTTCCCCTAGAGTAGGTTAGGGTTTGAATTCAAAAACTTTAAATTTTCCCAAGGCCTGGGGGATGTCCGGCCTACTTCTGACTTGTGTGATATTATCTTTTGTTTGGCATGGTTTTCGATTTACCGGCTTGTTTCTTCTTTCCGTTTGCATGGTTAAACTCCTTTTCTATGCATGGTTATTGCTTTTCCTTTCCTTTTCTTGATCGCCTTTGAATGAACTTCCAAGTCAATAAAACTAACCGGCCTTATACCCTAGGAATCTTTTTGAAAAAACGCCCAGGCCATCTCATGTTCTGGTCCTGAAAACGTCCAGGCCTCATTGGCTTGGTTGACAATTTTCTTGAATATGCTTGATTCCAAGTCAAAAGAAGTAACCGGCTTTATCCTTTGTAGTTGTCCAGGTCACCTCATGTCCTGGTCTTTGGTTAACGCCTTAGAAACGTCTAGGTCTGGTAGGCTTTGTTGACAGCGTCCAGGTCAATTCCATCTCTTGAAAATGTCCAGGTCATGTTATGTCCTGGTCAAGTACAAGCCTTTAAAACATCTAGGTCTTGCAACCTTGAAAACGTCCAGATCTTGTGGCCTGATTAGTCTTCTGGACCGGCTTGTGTCTAGGTTGAACTGCAACAAACGTCCATGTCATCTCATGTCCTGGTGTAGTAGGCTAGGTTGGAAGTTTTGAAGACCACTTTAGACGCAAGGCTTGAAAACTTCCAGGTCATCTCATGTCCTGGTTTCTTGACTTGAAAACGTCTAGGTCAGTTTCTCCCTCGCCTGTTTTCTGACCCAGTCAACTTCCAGGTTTTAATGGCTTGGTTGCAATATGTAACCAGCATGACGTCAAATTTCCTGTCCAGGTGCCGGGTCAAAAATATGACCGGTCAAAAAATATTTTTTCTAGTTTTGTTTGATTTCATCAAATCCGCCAACTAAAAAGTGACCGGTCACTTTTCTCAAAGTTGACCGATCAAATTTTCATTTTTTCCCATTCGCATTTTCTTGTCAATCGTGAACATAAAAAAGTGACCGGTCACTTTTGACCATGCCACCATCTTCTCCCCCTCTGGCCTGGGTGTCATGCCTAACAGCAACCTTGCTCAAATTTCGAACGAATAATCCGAAACGGTTTTGGAATCATCAAGTCTCAACATCAAGACCCGAACTTTCTTCGGAGATTTTGACCATGTCCTATGATCGTGAACCCTCTCCAAGGTTCAGCCCTCTTCCAGGCAACACCCTTCTTCCAGGGCCCCTCTTCCAGGTTTTAAGTTTTTTAATGTGTCATTCTCTAATCATTAGGTTGACCTAGCCAACCCAATCTTCCCACGTGGGGGTATGCCGGTGAGAACCAGCCCTCATCCAATCTTACATGTCCATATGTTATGCGTTTGAAGTGAATTCTAGTCTTCCCTAGACCCTTCAATCCTCAAAGGATGGCTCATGCAAGACGGTAATCATTTTTTACTTTGGCATCTTTTTGCCCCTATCTAAATGAAAATTTGGTAGGGATCCATGTAAGTATGGACGCAAGTCCTCTTCCAGACCCAGCCTATCTCAAGGCCATACCTCAACATCAAGGCCCCTATCTCAAGGGTTTATCTTTTTTTTTTTGACCTTGCCTCTTACATCAAGACATTAGTTTAGTATTACTGACCCAGCAACACAAGTATTGAAGAAATCTCTTATTTATCATCGAAGGGATATTACAAATGTATGCCTTGCCAATTTGGTCTATCGGTAGAATTTTCTAAGGTGGTGGGAATTCCAGCACCTTTCCAACTCCCGACCTTCCATTGTTTCTAACTTGTATGTCCCAGGGCGTAATATTGCTGTGACCCTATATGGACCTTCCCATTTCTTTGCAAGCTTTCCACCATCACCCGGTTTGCTGGCCTCCCTTCGTCTCAGGACCTCATCACCGACTTGGAAATAACGAGG